GACAATCTTTTCTTCGTCCGCCGGGTCCATCTTGATCTGGTTATAGCTCGAATAGGTGTCTAAGAAACTTAGCAACTCGTGCCCTGAGGTCGCGTCCACCAATAGGTCAATTATGGGGAGCGGGAAGCAGTCTTTTGGGCAAGCCTGGTTCAGGTCGGTGTAGTCGACGCACATGCGCCACTTGCCGTTGGCCTTCTTTACTAGGACGAGGTTGGCTACCCAGCTCGGCTAGTGGACTTCTCTTATGAAGTCAACTGCGAGGAGCTTTTCGACCTCCTCATCGACTGCTTTCCACCGCTCCGGGGCTAGGTTGCGTTTCTTCTGTCTAACGGGCCTAACTACAGGATCAGTATTCAGCTTGTGAGTTATAAGTTCGGGTCTATACTGGGCATCTCTGCCGCGGACCATGCAAAAATATCTAAATTTTGAAGTAAGAAACTTATCAGTTCGGATCGTAGAGGTTCCTGGACGGAAGCGCCGATCTGAAGCGTCCGATCTGGTTCTGCTGCTGAGGTCGGAACTGTGACTGTTTCTTTTGTGGGCGCGGCTCATTCTTCGCTTTGCTCCATAGGTCGCTCCAGCTCAAGGTCATCGGCTACCTTGGTTTTTCCCTTCAGGGCGGCGACGTAGCACTTACGGGATTCGAGTTGGTTGCCTCGTGCTACCCCCACACCGAAGTCTGTTGAAAACTTCATAGCCAAATGGTAAGTGGAGACCACCGCCCGTAGGACATGGGTGATCAGTCGACCTATTATGGCATTGTAGGGGGAGGGGGTCGCGACCACCAGGAAGTCGTGCTTGAATATGACCACACAAGTCCACGTGCCGACTTCCACAAGTACTATTATTTTTCCAAGGGGCCGGACTTCTTCTCCACTGAAGCCTACCAAAGGAGTGTCTGCGGGCTTCAAGTCGCCTCTCTGCAACTGGAGCTGGTCAAACACAGCTTTGAAGAGGATGTCGGCTGAGCTACCTGAGTCGACGAGTACGCGCCTGACCTCGAAGTCGTTGATTCTTAGCTTTATTACGAGCGCGTCATCGTGGGGGTAGTGGACTCCTCGCGCATCATCTTCTGTGAAGAAAATTGGCTCTTCTGTTCTCGACCGCTTTAGGGAGTTCTGCTCCTCCCGGGTGGCCTCACGAACCGACGTCCGAGCTGCCGCTGAAGTGCAACCCGCAACGATCGAACCTCCCACTATCATGTGGATGGTTCCCCGAACCGGCCTCTCCTCCGAAGGCTGCCTCTGCGGTTGCTCGGCCGGCCTGCTGCTGGACTCGGGGGCATCCTTACCGTGCTCCCCTTGCCGACCTATTTTATTACCATTATTATTATTCTGTATAAAGTTTCTTATATATCCGCGATGGATGAGTTTCTCTATCTCGTCGCGGAGGTTTTTATAACTCTCGGTACTGTGATCGTTATCTTTGTGAAAACTGCAATACAGATTCTTATTTCTTTCATTGGGATTCCCCCTCAGACCTGGTGACCACTTCACGTACGGGGCGTCCTTGATTGCCATCAGGATTTCATCCCGCTTCGCGTTAAGTGGGGTGTAATTAGCTCAGTCCGCTACAGGGGGTCGGAGCCCCCCGAGCTGTCCTTTTTCTTTCAACTGTCCCCTTGGCTGGAAAGCTCTCATTACCTCTTCCTTTTTTCGAGCGTGCCCTCGCCCTTTTGGTTGATCTCCTCTTCGGTGGCTATGAACTTGTCTGCAAGCTTCAGGAACTCGGTTATGGTCGCTGGTTGGTTGACGACCATGTGCCATTTAAATTCTTTGTGTGTCAAGCCCTTCTTAGCTACTGCAAGGCGTACGGCAGGGTCCAAGCGCGGTATCTGCATACAGCTATCGTTGAACCGCTTGATGTAACTTCAGATGGATTCTCCCTCTCTCTGCACTATGTTGAGGAGACTTTTTCAGTTCGCGGACACCGCTTGCTAGTAACGAAGTGGGACGCGAAGGCTTGCGCGAACTACGCCCAAATTCTTATCGATCCAGGTGCCAAGTTCCGGTACCATGTACGGGCTGCTCCTCTAAAAGTGGTGGACAAGGCCACGCACATGCATGACTCACTAGCTCTCGCCAGGTGCATCTGCGACTGAAAAGCGTCCACGTTATCGTTTGGGTCAAACGACCCGTCGTACTTGTCAAGAGGGGGGAGTTTGAAGTCTTTAGGCATTGGGACTGCTAGGAGCTCGAGAGATAGGGGAGACTAGACTGAAAGGAGGGGTGCCTTGGCTTCGCCCGAGCTTACCTCTTCTTTGCCCCTGAGCTCGGGCAGGTCGTGGGTGGCAGATCGGCAAGCTCGGCGGTGGCGTCTCTGCTTCTTGGCGGGCTCGACGTTGGTGCTGCTCACCTCCATGCTGTCAGGAATGGTGTGTGCCGGAAGTAGCTTAGGCCGCTGGTGCTGGCTGCGGACAGAGGGATCCTGCTTGGAGCCTGCGGCCAGGATCTCGAACCGGTTCTCTAGGAACAGGGTATCGGGCTTCGAGGGCTGAGGAGACGTGGACCTGGCGAGCTGGGGTCCTCCCGACCTGATTGCCCGCGGTGAGGCCGAAGTGGTTGTTCTTCTGCGTCTGCTGCGGGAGGAGGCCTGGATCCTAGGAGGGTTTTGGGGGGCCTCTCCTTGGTGAGAAAGGTGCTCCTCCTGGCGGCGAGACCTGGCTTGCTGCGAGGCTGGGTGCCGAGGAGGGAGTTGCGGCTGCTGATGCTGAGGTTGGGGCAGTTGAGGGAATTGCTGCTGATACTGGTACTGCGAGACCTGGTGTAGCACATGCTGTTGATAGATCTGAAACTGTTGAAACTGCTGCATTTGAGCCTGCATGGTTCGCATGCACTGCACCAAATCTTCTAGCTGGTTCGGGCTGGCCGCTGGGGGCACAATTGAGGGTTCAGTGAAGGTTGTTCCGACTGTGGTAGGGAGTAGAGCAACGACGGGTACCCATGCACGAGGCACGTTCAAACTAGGGATCCCGTCCGCTGAGAGGGGGACGGTGAACTGTCCGATGCAGACAGTAGGAAGCTGGGGCTGTTCCTTGGAGTTATTCATCTCCGTGCTTCGTCCAATATTGCTTGAGGACGCCATGAGCGTTGAGTTTTTGGAGAGTAAAAAGATGTGAAAGTTTAGAGAAAGGCTTTTCGAAGCGTTTCCCACAGACGGCGCCAAATGATGTTGCACGATCCGGTCACTCCTACCTGGCGCTCACGTGGCTCCTGGAAGATACCTAAGAAGAAGAAAATTCCCGGAGGGAGTTACCCGGCGGGAACTCTCCGATGATTAAGTTAGTACTTGGTAGGAGAAGCAAGGAGGAAAATGAAGACTAAAAGTGGAGATAGCGCGCGTACCGTAGATTAATTCCTCTGCCACAACTGTTATTGGCAGGGCTGAGGTGGCACGCGCGGGGCCGTCACCGCTGGGTACGTGTCTGTCAGGTGTAGGACACCTTTTAAAGGTGGTAGGCACGACGTTGCCTGACGAGGGACACGACTGTTGTCACTAGATTTGTCTGGTACGGCAGTCAGGCAGGAGATCTTCTTGCCTTCCCTCATGCGGCTCGCCGAGCTGCCACAAACTGGGGTGCTTCAGGGCAGATGGGCCCCTGCCTTGAAGCACCGAGGCGCTCCTTCGCAGGTGGGTAAAAGCTTAGTGTCCCTTAGAGAAGAGCCTGGGCTCTCCGAGCTAGGCGGGGGACTGACTCACCGAGGTATTAGCCCTCGGCGAGTTGACTGTCTTTGACTTGGTGTTTCCTTCGTGCCGAGTCGGGATCGTAGTACTAGGCTGGAATGTTCACCAAGCCAGGTCATGCGCACGTGTCCTAGGTTCATGGGGTTGAGCCAAATCGTCCTCCATCACCCTTCTATCAGAAATGAAATGGAATTCCGATTATGTCCAACCAAACAATTGGAATAAAAATAACTCATTCCAATTCTGATTCCAAATCCCAATTTCTGCAAATCAAACGGGGCATAAGATTCGACAACTACCCAACCCAGGCCTGCCCAAATTTAATCGGGCCCATTGTCGCCAATTCGGTAATACGTGGGCCTCACACATCAGGCTGAGGGGTCAGGTGGTGTGACATGGTTGGTTCAGTAGTCAGTATCCTCCTCTCCGTTCCCAGAGAATTGAAAGTCTGAAGTTGAATCTATGTATGGACATGGACAGGAGGCGAAAGGAAATTTATTTGGGCTGAGTGGCGGGCTTGGCTCATTAGTTATTCTTGATTTCCACACACTTATTTTATTCCCAGAAGCAAGCTCTTTCCTTGTTGGCGTTGTGTTTGTTGGACTGGACCACGTCCACCGTCTGCAATACCAACACCACGCGGCATTTATCAATTATTTAATTAATAATTATGTAACTAGAGAAATGTTCAATAACTTAAAAAATAATTATGTAAATATGCAAATAATAAATAATAATTTAATTATTTTATACTATTTAGTTAAATGATAATTGCTAAGTAATTTATTGAAAGTCAATAAGCTTTCTCATATGTATATATATGATTAAGGCAAAGCTTGGGAATACTTATTTGAAAAATAAATGTTTAAAAATAAGTGATTATTCTAATAAGCAATTATTTTGAATAGGGATAGTATAGGCATTTTCTAAATGACATGGTGGCCAAGACAGGTCAGAATGAAAATAAGCATTTAAAAATAAATCTAAAATTTGAACTTATTTTAATAAGTACTTATTGGTGTGGTCAGAGCTTAAAATAAATATTTATTTTTAAGCAGTTCTAAACTTGGCGTAAATTAATTGTAATTTCAGAGGCATTTTAAATGTCACTTAAATGCAAATGACCTTAGTAGCTTGAATGATAAACCAATTATCACATGTCACCTAATTAAAAGCTTCGTTTGTCATGCCTAAAGAACCTAACAGAAGAAATTATCAAAATAAAAAGAAAAACGAATCTAACAGAAGAAGAAGATTAGTTCAAAACACTTTTTCTTCTCTCTCTCTCTTAGCTTGGATCCGAACGAAGTAAACGGGGCACAGGAGCTTCAGCTGACTAGTCGGATTTGCTTATTAGACTTCTTCCAGGCTTTGACTTGTAAATAGCACAAACCATCGCCGCAGAGCGAAGTTTCCAAGAGTTGCATAGAGTACTCGTCGTTGTATGGATGCCGTGCTGCTGGCGGGCAAAGAAAGCATGCTTCACTGCTCTTCTTTTGATCTTGATCAAATCAAACTGGGGACTGCCGGACTGACCGTCGACTTAGCGAGTGCGTTTGGATGACATCAGGAAGCACCCATTTGATGCCGTAACTATCCAAACGCATTCCCACTTTTAACGCCATCTGCTTGACACGTGGTTCAGTGGTTATCCCGCATTAACAGTCAAAGCTCTCTCTGCTTTATCCCAACTCCCAACTATGACCAAGTTTCGGTGTCACCGCACAACAGTTGCTCTTCAGTTTCAGTTTCCCGCTCTCTCTTTCTCTCTCCGCCTCCGATCATAAACTGAAAAGGGAATACCTTCGTTTGAAACTCTGGAATAAGTTTTACGTTAGCAGCTGCAGAAATCCTTCAGCTCCAGACGGCTTTTTAGGGTTTGAATTGTTCTTTCACATCAATGGTGCGGTGTCGTATCCAACGTCGGGAAGAAGGAAAACCGGATAGTTAGGGTTTTACGTTTGGTACTCTATATTATATAGAGTAATTTGCAGGTTTAATGTCGGAAATCAATCGAAATGGCGGTGATTTGTCCGCGGAGATTGGAATTCCATCCGGACTGAACCGTATTAAGACTCGGCGACTACCTTCCAAGGATCGATTCAGTCCTAAACCTGATGACCTGCCTTCGGCCAGTGGTTCCCAGACGGTAGCTTTGATTTCTTGCAGTGGAGTTCCTAGGCCTCCGCTCAAGCACAAGTCCGTAGACGAAGGAAATGGACGGGTCAGCAGCCGTAAAGAAGGTTTCAGTCTTAGTCTTTCTCCAAAATCGCATTTACTGTTGAAATTGTTTAAGACGTTAGAGTTTCAAGGAAATCTCTGTTTCTGTCATATGTTAATGCTGCAATGCTGCGAATGTCTGAGCTATGGATTTCTCTTGGTATTTGAATTTCTTCTGTAAAGATGAATGTTCAATACTATATTCATTAGAAAGACAGAAAATTGTTGATACAACAAGAAAATAACAGTGCACTAAAATCAAATTTGCGAATATGCATCCATGTGACAGAAGCCGCCCTGTTTTCTTGCACCTTACGATTTTCTCCTAATTGTTTCCGTATTGGATATTTGAGCTGCATGGCTATACGGTAAATATTAGATACAGTTGGAGTATCTGTCATCATTTTTCTTTTTCTTTTTGTTATAGTAGAAGAATCTGTCTTCTGCAATCATTTTGTGGTTTTGTATATCATCAAATTTGCCTTTCTGGTACTTCACGTGGTTGCAGTTTTAAAAGTTGAAAGACCGATCCAATTCAACTTGATTTTTGAACCGAGCCTCCGGGTTTTCCTCTGGTTTCTTGGAAACTCAAAAGAGAAAGAATAAAAAAATATTGACAGCAATTAAGAGTCTAATAGTCCAATCCTTGGATTTGTTTTTTAATAGAATTATGAAGATTGAAGGATCTATAGAAGTTGCTTGACCACTTTGGAAGGATTCAACTTTCATGGTTAATAAATACATTTGGAATCACTGTACAGTACAGCTATTTTCGTTAAAATTCCTATGAGCATCCAAATTCTTGGGACGTTCTAGGGGACTGGAAGAGTATGTAAGAGGAGTGGAGGAAATTAAGAAAGGTTTGGTCATTTTCTGAAGTTATTCTGAGGAAAAAGAAATGAAAACTCTGACATCTGACTGGGGATTGTGCTTTAAGAGTGACATAGTTAGTACTTCATATTGTGGCAAGTTTTTGTGAAGGCCTTTAATGAACTCAGATGCGAAATTTTTAGCTGAGATTTGGCTTCCTATCCTTTTTTTTTGTTGAATACAATGAAGTATGAATTTACATTGCTATATGAAGAATATGTATAACGTAACTATACTCTGTACAATAAGAGACTGTACAAGATGACTGACGGTATAACATGATGTACTCAATACATCAGTAACTACCAAAAAGACAACCATGATAGATAAAAAAAGCTATGCAGCACTCTACTAACTTTTGGATGCTTATGATCGAGGTACATAGTCCAAAGTGATGTAAAAGGAGACTTCTTTAATATGGAGAACTTTTTTTCCTAATCCTCTTGTATATAATGAAATATGGTTAACCATCCAGAATAAGAAAAAGAATGTACAAAAAGGGAAAACTGATCCAATGCTTCATTTTGTAATTTTCCAGGGTTTCGTAAGGGAAAGAAGATTGCTCGATGGTTTAGTTCATATCTCAGCAAGGGTTCTAATAAAGCATTTAATGATTTTCCTCCCAACAGTGAGGTGAAGTCTAGTTTAGCAGACAAGTAGATGCTAGTGACCTGTAATTAACCCTATATGTATAGAAGTTCCTATACTTCTATCATTTCAAAGCATTAATCATAAACTCTTCCATTTTGTCAGGCTTCCAATTCAGAAGTTAAGTTGCTTGATAAGGATGTTTCAATACGAACTAAACATTGTATAGATGAAAAAGATTTGAATGTAAAGCAATCATCACCGGAAAGTAAGCACACAAGAAAATTGCCAAAAGGTTTAAAAAGTTTTTCACATGAACTGGGACCAAAAGGAGGCATTCGACCTGCCCATCCTCGAGCCCACAGCTATAATGACTTGAAGGTATCAGTTGGCTGTTTTGGAATTGTTTTCTTCATACATGTGATGAAAATTCATTCTTCTTGGCACATTTCAATTGGTGAATCATTAAGGCAGAATTATTGTTATGTTTGGCTTGAATTGATATTCAGGAACTTCTGGGATCATTGAATTCAAGGTTTGATGCTGCTAAAGAACTGGTGGATGCAGAGCTGGCTAACTTTGCAAAGGATGTTGTGGACCTTCTCAAGAATGAGAACTCTTCATCTACAAAATACCGTAAAGTGATTGAGGGTCTTCTGATTCTTGCTCAGCAATGCACAGAGATCACTTCCTGTGAGTTCCGTGCAAAGTGTGAAGCAATTGTACAGGATCTTGCTGAGAAGCGGCGGCAGTGTGAGGCAGGATTACTGAAACAGCTGTTCACACGCATGCTTTTCATTTTAACACGTTGCACACGGTTGTTACAGTTTCAGAAAGATACTGAGCCAATCAATGAAGACTCTCTTCATAAATTTAAGCAATGCTTAGAAAGTATCCCTGCCATAGAAATGCGCTGGGCACCAAGGCCAGAAAGTGCTGATTTTAGTTTAGATGATGACTTGAATCAGAAGGATAACAACAAACAAAAATTTCTGGGTCAGAATAAGGTCCTTTCGCTCTCAGAGAGAACACGGTGCAATTCAGAAGAAGAAACAGATGAGAGTGACACAACTTACAAGAAGGATCCAACTACTTTTGTACAGAAGTCATCATCTCAAAATTCCCATAATGATACCCATTCAAGTGAAAGTGGCATCTCAGAATCTGATCCTAGCCATAATGCTCCTACAAGGAGTCTGTTTCCCTCATATCAGGAGGATACCATGCAAGATTTCCACAAGTCTGATGGTAGCTTATGTGAAAAAATGATGCATAGGTCCACTTCTTGTTCGCCTCATGAGCAACACCAAAATTTTGATGAATCCGATTTAGTTATCTGCCGGATATGTGAGGAAGTTGTTCCAACTTCTCATTTGGAGGCTCATTCCTATATATGTGCTTATGCAGATAAGTGTGATTTGAAGTGTTTGGATGTAGATGAACGACTCTCCAAACTTGCAGAGATACTGGAACAAATTGTTGAGTCCTGTGGCATGAATTCTCATACATCTTATGGCAGCCCTGATGTTTCAAGAATACAGGGTATGAACTCTACAGTTGGATCAGAAGTTCAGTCACCAAAGGTAATTGAATGGCACAATAAAGGAGTAGAGGGAATGTTCGAAGATCTTCACGAGATGGACACAGCTTGTATAGATGAGTCTTACCCTGCAAGTTGCACTAATTTGAAGAGTCATTTGGCTATGAAGCTTGGCCACTATGGCGCACCATCTTCTGCTGGGAGCATGACATCAGTATCTTCTACAAATACCCCAAGAGCAAGCCATTTTGACTTATTCTGGTTAGAGCACAACAACCCCTCTGAACCAGAAGATGTGCAACAGGTTAGTTATCTAATGAAAGTTATGCTCTTTACAATGGTTATCTTTAATTTGCATTGGTTACATTTATCCACAATGTACCATGTAACTATTTCTGGATTTGTAAATTTGCTCTTAAGGACCACTAGCATCTAGAAATTAAAATTAGAAGACCTTTGACTTGAAACACTACTTAGGCACTTAATTGTTTCATCAAAGGCTGGAAATTCGTGGCACCTTACACTACAACACCTAGATAGTGTTGTAGTGTTAGGTTTGCCATATTAAATTAGGAGAGGACAATGAACTACAGGTGAGAATTTGCACAAGGCCTAGGTGGTCCATGGATAGATTGTGTCATTTATTATGAAGCAGAACACGTATTTAATTCCAGAAATTATCCTTATGCTCAATCAGTTTTCTACATTATTTCTATCTTGTTATGTGTCTGGATGGCATATACCAGTCATAGTATTGAACACATAAAAAAACTGTAATATTAAAATTTAATATATATATATATATTTCTGAATCTATTGTTACATATTTTTTGTTTTAGACTCATACATTTGGCAGGCTTTATTCCACAGCATCACTTGAGAGGTTCAATTTCTTAAAAGATACAGGCTACTTTTTACAAATTCATTCTATTTAATTGGCCTATTAGCTCGTGCTTATTACTATCATATGTCTGCATACACACATACATAAATGTATGTTCATATGCATTAATATACATATTTATGCTTATATGTATATAGGAGTCTTGGGTGTGCTTATGAAACATCTGGAAGGAAGAATACAAGGGAATGTCTACATTTCATTAGGGGCATCATTTATTTGGCTGGTGGTTATAGGTAGGGTTCAACTTGGATGGGCTTGGGTTGAGTTGAGCATTTGTTAAAATTTGAATGAACCCACTCTAAGGGCCTGGGCCCAGATCTGGTGCTGCGTAAATTCTTCAAGGTAGGTACCTGAGTTGCACCCCTAACTATGGGGAAGATCCTATGGTGGATCAGCTAGAGGCATAATTTCAGACTGGCAAGTCACTGTGTTATGTAGGGTAAGAGAAGAAGGTTGGACTTGTTTATTTGCTGCTAGGCATAAATGGATATTTGGGATTTCTTTCTAATTATCTTCAGAATAAATTGGCATCTTTTCACATCTCCTATTCAGATGATCCAATGATGGCTGGATGTGAACTTTGAAGAGAAAGGTCTGAGCTCATGGAGAATTACCCCCTTGCTTTTCTAGGGTTTATGGAAGGAAAAGAACAGGAAGATTTATGAAGCTAGGACCAACTTATAGGGTACAAGAACATTGGCTCTTACACTATGGAGTGGTTGTTGATATTGGAAAAGTTGAAGGGATGAACATCAATTGACAATGATACGAGATTGCAAGACATTGATTTTCTTTCTTTGACTTGAATGGGGAGGCATGCATTTTTTGTATCTGTTGTATAATATACCTTTTAGGATCCATTTTCTCTTTAGATAGATCTTTCAGGGGACTTTTTTAAGGGCCGTAAGGTCTTTTATAAATAAAGTTACTTGTTACCTATGCAATTTGCAGAAAACATTCCTTCTTTCAAAGCTAGAGCCTTTGCCAAGAGGGGAGAGGATGCTGGAAAGGTTAGGAATCAGGTTTCACATGGCCAAACCAGGTTTGGTGGCTGGCTGAATTTTTAAAAATTTTCTAACCCAACCCGGGAACTAATTTCTAGGTGGTTTTGAAATCTGAAATTTCGATATTGATTTTGCACTGAACTGGATTGGATTTGAAACCCAAATTAAAATTAATCATATCTGATATGGAGACCACAGTGTGCAGCTCCCAGAGTGGTAGTTCACACCCAATATCAGTCCCAAAATTGGCCTCCAGTTGAAGATGGTGCAGTGTGCACGCGAAGCTGATTTAGCAACACCATTTCAGCAAAACCAGTCCCAACTTGCTTGGGTTGGTGCAGGTATGTGAACCTGATATCCTTTGATGTTTTTCTTGCAAAAACACAATAGAGAACTGATGGACATCAGTCCCTATCACAATTGGCCTCCAGTTGAAGATGGTGCAGTGTGCATGCGAAGCTGATTCAACAACACCATTTCAGCAAAACCAGTCCCAACTTGCTTGGGTTGGTGCGGGTATGTGAACCTGATATCCTTTGATGTTTTTCTTGCAAAAACACAATAGAGAACTGATGGACATCAGTCTCTATCACAATTGGGTCGAATTAGGGTTTCTGGGAGGCAAGGGAGAAGAGAAGAGAGCAAGAGATTGGAGAGAACTAGTGAATTTTCCCCTCCCCTCTTAGTCCCTTATATAGAGCACTCTCCTAATCTAATTAGGAGCTCATCCAAATCAAATTTGGATCAAGACTTTATCTTTGATGATAATCATTATCTTTTTAAGAGAATGGGTGCTCCATATCTAGATTCATGCCCGTTTCTTAATTAATCATCTTAGTAATGGGCCTTAGGCCCATTTTCTTTAATGGTTCATGTCCCAAGGTGTTGCATGGCCACTTTGGACCTAAATATTGTATGGCGTGGGACCTACAAAGGTCTCATTACAAGTCCATAAGGGTTCAACCCCACCTCTGGAAGAGGTTAGACCGAATTCACTACTCAGAGGCAGTGAACCCTTGACCCAATCAGTTTGGGCTTAGTTTGGGCCCAACATTTACACATAAGTGATCATTGGATTCAGCCACCCTATGAAGACCCAAGGATAATGGACTTATGTAAGATAAAACCTATAGGGTAATCATCCCTGTAATGGTCTCTTACACCTAATCTCTCGGCCCATAATCATCAAAGCACTGCTCACAGGTAAGGACATCTTCCTGACTGCAAAATGCAGTGTCACACTCTCTGCCCAAATGGATCTCGAGATTAAAGCCTTCTGCAAACATTTTTCATAAAATATAACATATGAATGTATTTTGCAAATCAGATTTGAAATATAGTTGAAATCCATTGCCAGCAATTTAGGTTTCCATCAGAGAGAGTGTAAGCCCTGATATTCACTTTGTCTAACAAAGGGGGCGATCCTACCACTATGATCACCCACTCGGGTAATTTCCCAAACTGCCCCAACATGCCTAGGTACTTGACCCTTGATGGATCTCACTGGTTGGCATATCAAAGACACCTCAATCCAAAACCTAATGCAATATCATAATCAAGTTTGGGGTTAAGTGCAATTTTCCAATTTTGCCCATTTATCTCCAAGGACCAGGGCATAACGGGAAATTGGTTTGGGTTTAGTGTTTCTTTTAAACACCCATTGGCTATGCTTGGGGTCTAACCCTAGCAGCTAAGATAAGCTGCTCCACCAGTTTGGCAACAAACCAGTGTCAACCTTGTCAGGAAAAACTCCTCAAATCTATCCAATGGCTGAGAATATTCTAAACTAACACTAGTCTCATAAGTGTCTAGTTTAAGGAGTAATTCACATAAACACACTAATAAGAACATAAAACAGTGATGTACTTTATTCATTTATTGATAAATGTTTGTGTACATCAATCTAATTGGAGCTAAGGGCATACACTATCTAATAGAGGATATAGAACATGGTTGCACCTTAAAATGATCCATCACCATTTCTAGGAACCATACCAAAAGCAACACCATCTCTATTTCTATACCCCCATCAATGTTAATTTTGATCTAGTCCTGATTCTATTCACCATCACACCTCAAGCTTGGAGATTCTTTTTTAGAAATAATCCTCATCCCTTGAAATGACCTATAGGCCATATTTGCAGTAAGAGAATGGTTAGGTATAATATCATGAAAAACCATCTCATTTCTCATTTTCCAAATAGGCCAAGCTGTTTCACCAAAGTGACCAAGAGCATCCATTTTAAACTTCTTGCTACTATACCCTTGTCAAGCCATCCCTTGAACCATGACTTGAAAAAAACTTCACTATCACCATCTAGCCTAAGTCCCAGGGGGTTCCAACCCAGGTATACCTTGCATGTTCTCAAAAGCCTAGAGCATAGTAATTGTTTCTTGTCCTGTATGATACAAGGTACAGAAACGAGGAAGGAAAAGTCTTGGCCCTTTACTCGGGCCCAATTGGGGTGGGAGATTCATTAAGGGCAGAAGTAATGGCTTTGCTTCAAGGTTTGAAACTGGTGAAACAATGGGGAATGAAGCAATTAGAAGTGGAAGTAGACTCCAAGCTGGTAATAGGGTGGATGCAAGTTGGAAACCTGGGAGTGTGGTCTCTTAGACAGCCTCTAAGAGAGATTATTAGCTTAGCAAGGGAGATTGGGGTGCATTTTAAATGGGTAAGAAGGTCAGAAAATGGAATGGCTGACACTTTAGCTAAGCAAGGAGTTACTAGGGAGGCTTTGTTTTGGGCCTGTTTGTAAGTTTTTTTTTTTTGTTTTTCCATCCATTTTGTGGTTGGTAAGCCTGTAATCTTTTCAATTCTCTAATGAAAGTTAGTGCTTCCTATAAAAAAAAAAATCTCCTTCTGAGCAGTTTGGTTAGTGTCTCACCACCTACCTGGCTAACCCCAAGACAGTTACCCTAAACATTTTGGCAACATGGTAGGCAGATTTTACTGTGAATACACCTCTTGGACTAGGAGCCCATATCTTCCCACCGATAGGAGGCAAGCCTTATTTTGACAATTTCATCTCTAACAACCGGAAGGAAGAGCTAACTCAAAACATCATATTTCCATGGTTTCTTTCCACTATCAATTAATTCCATTACAAAAGAGGGCTCCCTTGGGACTGGATAGGCCCCATGATACAGTAACCACCCAAAGATGGGATCCAGGGATCCTCCCAAATTTTTATATTTTCACCTTTGTTAACCAGCTACCACACTCCTTTCATTAGAATCTTTTCCCCTGCTAGAAGACTTTTCCACCCCCAAGAGCCATTTCTTGGGAAATTTTCGTCCAAGTAGCCCTTATGTGGTAAGTACTTAGCTTTTACTTGCATAACCCACAGATTTCCTGATTAAAAACACTATCTTCAGGCATCTTTGCAAGGAGGGATAAGTTAAGGGAGTGGTTAGGGATTCTGGAGGTAATATAATGCTGAGTTATTCTGGTCCAGCTGGGTATGGAAATTCTTTAAGAGCTGGATTATTGACCTTACTTCAAGGACTAAAACTGATCTTGCAACAAGATTTGACAGTTGTAGAAGTAGAGGGGGACTGTGAAACAATGATTCAGTGAATAAATTCTCAAGATTTGATCCTGTGAAAGGAAAAAATTCAAATGGCTGGCCAAGGACATTGAGATAAAGTACAGCTGGGTGAAGAGATCTGCCGACTCATTTGCAGATGGGCTAGCCAAGCAAGGGGTGCTTAGGGATTCTTTGTTCTGGGCTCATTTGTAGTTCTGTTTTACTGTTTTTATTTTGGAGCCCCAGCCTCTTTGGGGGGGGGGGAGTTAAGATAGTTTATCTCCCCTGTTGTACTTAATTTCTTTAATGTTTAATGAAAGTTTCTTGTTATTGATAAAAAAAGCAAGATTTGATCCTGTGGCAGTTCAGGTAGGTGCCTCTTTGAATGCCTCATTCAATTGGGTACCAAGGAGTGGTAATGCACTTCCTGATTTATTGGCAAGAAGTGGAGTAGGTAGATATAGTTTGGACTGGGGATGCCCATGGCCGGCGTATAATTTGTAAGTTCTTTTTTTTTTTTACTTCCTGTTGTTTCTTGGGTTGTGTTTGTGCTTGGGCTTATGGGATGAATCAGTTTGATATGCTCATTGCCTTGAGCCTTTCTTTTTGTAACTCCTGTATCTGCTTCTTAATGAAATTTCATGTTGCTTATCAGAAAAAAAAGAAGAAAAGAAAATAAACAACTTATTTTTTCTGATGACCCCCTTCCTGATCCAATTTATTTTCTTGATTTTATCTTTTGAGCCCCACCGGAATTTCCTATGTAATTTTCCCATTTCATGATAGATGTTTTTTAGAAGAAGAAAAAAATGACATTGAAAAGATAGCTAAACATAGCTAAAGATAGCGGTAACTTCTGCCAGCTTGTAGTTTTGTTTACTACTCTTTCAAAAAGATAGCTAAACATTTGTGATTATGATTTTCCAAAACTAGCAGGAAGGCCCAAATAAGAGCTTAGGCTACCAGCTCTGTGAATTTTTAGGTACCTTGTGCAACAACTTTTTAAAATTGATAATAGGTATTGTTACTGAAGAAAATCTCAGTTTTTTTGGTAATTTGCCTGTTGTCTCAAGGCCCTCTTGTAGAGGCTCGTTGCATTAAAATCTCCTTCCATTCCTTGAGATTTGCTATAGTAATGATATATCTTTCATCCTAGCTCTCTTACTGTACTATGCAAGTGTAATCATGAATTGAAACACCATATCTATTGGCGAAACAGTTGGGTTGCTCCATTGCGGTCTGGGTGACCAGGGTTCAAATCTTGGAATAGCTTCTCTGTGTATTGGCAGGGGCCTCATGCACTGGGTTGCCCTTTTATAAATTTGAAACCAGTACTGCTGTTAGTGACAATGTGCAAAAATTCCATTTTCTTGAACATAACAAGTCTGAACTCTTTACCTGGTTATTTCAAAAACAATTTTAGAGAAAGGGAATATAGGAGAACGAGTCAGCCATACAATTCTGTCCAAATTGATCCCATACATAGTAGGGAGTATTTGATCAATTATACTCTTGTCATCATTTTATTTTTTATAATTTGATTAATGAAATCAATGTTTTTTAACCAATGTTTTCTAACGAATATCATTTGCCTCTAATGTCAACAAGATACGTTTATAATACTAAAACTCAATCTGTTCTTATGCTTGGAGCTTTACTTCTGCAGATGACTGACCTTGCAGATATTGCCCGCTGTGTGGCAAGTACAGATCTTGCAAAAGAAGGAGCCTCAGAGTATTTGCTTGCTTGCATGCATGATTTACAGGACATTTTACAGCATAACAAGATCAAGGCTCTGGTAATTGATACATTTGGAAGCCGAATAGAGAATCTTACGAGGTAATGTTTGATGTATGTTGGACCAAAATGGACTGTTTGTATAATAAAAAGTGCTCTTATCTGATAACTATCTTCTTTTTGTAAAATTCCCCAAAAATATTCTCAGGGAAAAGTATCTACTAGCTTGTGAACAAATGAATGACAAAAGTCCTAAGAGTGACAGCAAATATAAGGACAGCCCTGGGTTCCTGGTGGATAGTGCATCTCAGAGTAGTACAATGTCAACTCCTTTACATCCTACACATAAAGAGCGAACAAGCATAGATGACTTTGAAATCATTAAACCAATAAGCAGAGGTGCCTTTGGTAAAGTCTTTCTTGCACGGAAACGTACAACAGGAGATCTATTTGCAATAAAGGTGAATGTTCACTCATAAAAGCATTTCTGTAAGTTTGGTTTGTCAAAGTACAGTCTGTTGGTAATGAATGGATTATCTTCTTTCACAATTTAGATATTAATTTGATTTTTAATATCATTTCTCCGTAGGTGTATGATTCAAGAGGTACTTGTTCCAAAGATGCACCTTGGTCAAGTAAAGATTGTTGTTAAAAGCTTATACCACTTATCAAAAAAAAAAAAAAAAAAGAAAAAGAAAGAAAGAAAAAAAAAAGGGTTGTTGTTAAGTGCTTTGTTCATCACTTCTCTTCAGGAGAAATCTTTCCCAACATTTTCCTCCTTTGTCAGTGGTCTCTACCTTATATTTAGGAGAAGAAATCTTTCCCGCCATTTTCCTCTGTCAGTGATCTCTACCTTATGTTTAGGAGAAGAAATCTTTCCCACCATTTTCTTCCTCTTTTAGTGGTCTATTTGGTTATGCATTGTAGATTTTCAGATCAGATTGCATATTTTCTTGTTTCTTTTGGAATATTATGCAATTCCTTTATTATTAAAATTTTTTCAAGCTTGGATATTGAGCTCCATAGGACAATGTTCATGTCTCATGGAACCTAATGGCTCTGGTACATGGGGGGGGGCATTGCAGAGTGGGACTACTGGATCAAAAATTATATTTCTTCATCAGAGCATATATTTGTAACTTGTAAGGATGTAAAATACAAATTCTAAAGTCTTTTAAAATGTCCTCTTGAGTCTTCAAACCCATTATCAGGTCCACTATACAAAAATTTTCAAGAATACCCTCAAATTAGTAATAAACATGCAAGAGTTCAGCCCTGAACACACCCACCCTCACAAAACTCAGACAATTAACCAACCTAGGAAATTTAGAACAGGGGATTTCCTTTGGAACTCAAAGATATTGGCTCCCTAATAGGGTAGAATAGTCTCGAAGGTCCATTGGATGTATCCTTGTCCATTGTCTATGCCATCAGAATCTGGGAGTGTTCAATCCAAATCTTCTAATAACCAATCAACGTGAGTAGTTTGAAATGATGAATTAATGATAGAAGCTAATCTCTCATGGAGACTCCAGATGCTGCTGCTCTTTAGTATGCTAAAATTACCAGTGGCTGATAATCATTTGATTGGGCATAAATTCTGATTCTGAAGAAATTTGACAATTCCTTTTTTCATATTCCCTAAGAAATTGGACTAAACCTTGTACATGAAATGAGAACTATTTGGTAATAAAATGCGACAAGATGAAAACTTTTATTTACTGTATTTGCACTTTTCTTGCCCTATCTATATCTATACACACAGGCATACATACATTATGCATGCACGACTGTATATCCTCCCAATCTCATCTTTCTTACAAAAAGATCCAATATGTGATGATTGATCACTGATGAGTTCTTCTTGGAGATCTAATGAAATTGAATATCATCAGAAGAATCTCACTGCTTCCCAATTTTAACTTAATTTTCCTATCATTGGTGTTACTACTATTTAATTTATTAATAAATTAAATTAGTATGTCATTTGCACACTTTTGACAGGGCAATTCCTTTTAAACTTTCAAAATTGAAAAAGCAACTATTTTTCTTCTTAATTTCCTTTCTCCTTTTCTCTTTTAGATATGTTTTATGCCAGTTGTATGCCATACATACATAACATATAACTGTGATTCCAGTCATCCCATTTATGCGGTAATACAAATTTTCCCTATTTGCAGGTACTCAAGAAATTGGATATGATAAGGAAAAATGACATTGAACACATATTAGCGGAGCGTAACATATTGATCACTGTTCGAAATCCTTTTGTGGTAATATTTAATTATATAAATACACGCATGCCTGCATGCATACATACATAAAGGATAATGTAGTATTTATTTATTTATTCTGCAGGTCCGATTCTTTTACTCGTTCACCTGCAGAGATAACCTTTACCTGGTTATGGAATATCTGAATGGAGGTGATCTGTACTCCTTGCTTAGAAAAGTTGGCTGCTTGGAGGAGGACATTGCTCGGATTTATATTGCTGAACTGGTACTTTGAAGATTTATTGCATGGAAGTGTGTTAATTATGCTCTTGGTTTTTGGTAATAATTCTCTTCTAGTTTGGTGTATCTTATGAAAGTTCTACTGTGATTTAGGTTCTGGCATTAGAATATCTCCATTCACTGGGAATTGTCCATCGTGATTTGAAGCCTGACAATATATTGATTGCGCATGATGGACACATCAAGGTTTGGTGTATAAACTTTTTTCTGATTTTTTTTTCTGAACTCTAATTTAATTCACTATAGTTAATGTGGTGTAATTTTACATGACATGATTAAACTGGCTTAGCATTATTTGGTTTTCCGTTTTATGCTGTACTATTATTTCTGCTGCTGACATTATCTCATGACATGTGCAAAACTAGTTTGATTAGCTGAGCCTTGTATATACTTATTCTTTTATCTGACTGTATATAGTTGGAATAAGGCTTTATTGAGTTGAGTTGAATTGAGTATTATCTTTATTGGTGCTTACATTTAAACTCTTAAGAAATCTTTCCTTTATCCTGCTCCATATGATGCAGATTGCAGCCCTGATTTCAGTTTAGTATGTTAGATTTTTATGTTATTGAAGCACTAACTCTTTCATTTATCACCAGCTTACAGACTTTGGACTATCTAAGATTGGCCTTATTAATAGCACAGTTGACCTATCTGGGTCTGGGGCAAATGAAACTACTCCAGTGGATGGTGACGACCTCCAAACCTGTTTTGAACACATTCAACATGCAGAGGAGAGAACTCAAGCATCAGCTGTTGGCACACCTGACTATTTGGCACCTGAAATCCTTCTTGGAACTGAACATGGTTTGGACCAAAACCTGCATTCGGTACTTTTTGAAGTATACTTGATGGTTAAAGTTAACTCCTGGGTATTCCTGCAGGTTATGCTGCAGATTGGTGGTCAGTGGGAATTATCCTATTCGAGTTTATAACAGGAATTCCGCCTTTCACTGCTGAATGCCCTGAGGTAGCATACTGTCATTCACATACTTAAGTGATTGCTACGGCTATATTTTGTAATTTCTAGTGCCTACAAGAGGATGCTATTTGTAAGTCATTCATATCATCATCATCATCTACTAAACCTTGTCCTAACCATATGGGGTTGGCTAGATGAATCCTGTTCTGCTATTCTGTTCTGTTTAGGTTCGTATCCCTTGTTAAATTATGGGCATTTAAATACTTTCTTGTTACTTCCATCCAAGTCCTTTTCATTCGGCCCTCGCTCTTCTAGTCCCTTCAACTTTAACAGATCACTTTTTTCTAACAGGTGCCATAGATGATCTTCTATGCACGTGACCAAACCATCTCAATCTACTTTCTCTCATTGCATCACCTATTGTAGCTATTCCTGGGTTCCTTCATATGACTTCGTTTGTAACCATGTCCTTTCTAGTTTTACCACCCATCCATCTACGTTTTCACATTTCTACCACACTCAATTTTGGTAAGTCATTCATAGGCTGTTGGATAATAAAAACAACGGTTACTTTTACTGTTCTTATTATCCAGTGCATTAGCAACACATTTTCATCCAGAAGCATTGATAATAAGTTAACATTCTGTATGACATTCATCGGAAGCTATCATATAACAAACAAGAGCATTGGGACAAATAGTGGCAACATTTAAGGAGTGGATTATCTTATATACAGAATCCAATAACAAGATTTTTTTTTGCTGTTAGATATGACTATGCAATCCATGCAAGTAGAGGATAACATCTTAACCTTATTCAGACCCATTCCTATTTGAAGTAATTTATCTGTATTAACAGACAAGCATTGCTTTTAGGTGTTCATAATTTCCAGCATATAACTCTGTAGCTCAAACTTCCTATTTACTTAATTTCTAGTGTTTTTTTTTATAATTAGTTTTCTAAAAAAATTCTAGTGGTTGTGAGATGTTTTTAGAATTAGTTTTCTACCTCATAACTTTGGCCATGGTTTCCTTTCCAAGATCAGTGTTATAAAATTATGGTTTTTCTGGAAGCTTTTTCAAAAGAAATTAGAATTTTGTGTCCCAGTGGGATTTCCTATGAGATAGTGGGATGGGTCTTACCATATTTATTTGTAAAGACTAAAGACTAAGGACAGGGTTTGCAGCCTGACACCAGGCATGGTATCCTCAAAATTTCCATTAAGACCTATACAGGATGTCTTGTTGTGCCTTCTAAATCATAGTGTCCTACTTAAGGGGAATTTCCTTGGTAACAAAATTTGTCTGGAAGGCAGCAGCTACATATAACTCATGATTAGCTCTTTTAGAATCAGTAAGGTACTTTCTTTTTTCTGCAAAGCTGCAGCTTATGAGATGCTGTTTCTTCACCAATAGTGTTGATTATGGCTTTCATTGGATCAGACCATTTTCTAGATTTGATCAAATTAGTTAGATATAGCTCTCAATACTTTGTTAATTGTATCCATTCTGATTTGGCTACACACAGACACGGGGAGGGAGGTATATGTATATTGCATATTATTCAAACATTTATCATCAGAATCATTGATAGAGAGAGGTATATGCATATTGCATATTATTCAAAAATTTATCAGCTAGGTTGTAAATTGGAAAAACTCCCAATCTCATATCTAGGGATGCCTCTGGTGGGAAACCCAAGAAGCCAAGTATTTTGGGACCCGGTGATTGAGAAGTGTGAAAAAAGACTGGCTACCTGGAAAAATGTTCTCTCTCAAAAGGGGGCAGGATTACTTTAATAAAAACATATCTGGCTAATTTGCCAACTTACTTTCTTTCTGTTTTCCGAATCCCGATTAAAATAAAAAACAAGATAGAGAAACTCCAGCGAGATTTCTTATGGGATGGTGGAATTGAGAAGTCTTGCCACTTAGTAAGATGGAACCAGGTATGTAAACCCAAGGAAAATGAAGGACTAGGAATTGGTCATATTAAAGAGAGGAATGAAGCCTTACTTGGGAAATGGATGTGGAGATTTCCTATTGAGTCGGGAACTGCCTGGACTTCCATTATCAGCAGCAAATATGGGAGAAGTTTGAATGGATGGGATAGCAAAGTCAACTTGAACTGAGTGACAGCAAACAACCCCTGGAAAGGTATTTCCACAACCTTTGATTTATTTGTTCCTTTTATCAGATATAAAGTGGGAAATGGAAATAGGATTCAATTTTGGACTGATCTATGGTGAGGAGATAGAACACTAGCTAGTGCTTTCCCTTGTATTTTCAACCTTTCTCAATCCCCCTTCTTCCTCCAGTTTTAACTGGAACCTAAACCTAAGAAGACCCCTGAAAGAAGTAGAAATAGCTAAGCTTGGAAACTTGTTACATCACCTTAGAGAAGTCTATCTTTCAATAACTACCCCTGACCAAAGAGTTTGGTCCCTTAACCTTGCTGTAAAGTTCAACACAATTCCTTTTTGCAAGGCTCTAGTGTCAAATGATCATGACTTTAAATTTCCCTACAAGAATCTTTGGTGCTCCCAAGTCCCCTCAAAGGTTTCATGCTTTGTGTGGGAGGCTTGCCTAACAAAACAAACACTTGTGACATTTAACAGAAAAAAATCAATGGCAAGTGGTGCATTTCCCCGCATGCATGCCCTTTGTGCCTAAGTGATGGAGAATCATCAGAACACCTTCTTCTACACTGTACTGTAACCAGAAAGATTTGGCACCATTTCCTAAGAATGGTCGACATCAAGTGGGTGTTTCCTAAACAAGTAGTGGACGTAATATGGCAATGGAAAGGTACATGTCTAGGCACAAGAGGAAAGCTGTATTGGAGACTGGTAGTTCAAGCTATTATGTGGGGTATTTGGGAAGAAAGAAACAATAGGGTGTTTGAGAATAAATCCAGAACCGTAGAAGACATGATCTCCTCTATTACTACAAATTTTGGAGAATTCACTGGACTGTCTTTGAATGATCTCCAACAAAACCTAAAGGAAATCCTTTTGTCATCCCCAAGACAGGATGCTCCTATCCATTGCTATAAAAGGGAGGAAAGGATGATGAGATTATGTTTCGATGGAAGTGCTCAAGGTTCTTCAAGTATAGCAGGGGTTGGAGGTATAATTCAGGACAGAGATGGGGACATATGTCGGGCTTTTAGTGGCCCACTTGATTCTTATAACTCTACAAAGGAAGAAATAGTAGCAGCCCTCACAGGTCTTCATTGTGCCAAAATGCTTGGAATTTCTTCCCTAATTATTGAAGGTGATTCAGCCAATACAATAAGATGGCTAAAAGAAAAAGACAGTGGACCGTGGAATTTGGCTCTTCTTTTGGCGGAAGCCAGAGATATTTTGAACTCAATGCAGGTTAAATTGAACTGGATTCCTAGGGAACTGAACACTATAGCAGGTTAAATTGAACTCAATGCAGGTTAAATAGTAGCTCTTCCTTTGTAATCCTATTTTTTTTCGTCTTTGTAGTACATCTTCTTATGTACCTCCCTTTTTTTAATATAATCTTAGTCATTTTTTGCTAAAACAAAAAATCATTTCAAGTATTGTATTTGTAACTGAAAGGTGTAGAGAAGATGGGCCAAATGGCCCATAGGCTGTTTATCCTTTTTTACCTTTATGTTCTTTGTTGTAATGGGCCTTAATCTGGGCTTTATTCTTTCTTCTGTTATGTCTTTTTAATTTTCTGCCCAACTAGGGGCTTATCTGTAAATTACTAAAGTTTAACTTAATGAAATAGAATTAAGGGAGTAAGAGAAGAGATTATGTTCGAAAAATCTCTCTCTGAACCCAAGTTGTCGCCACCTTCTTCTTCTTCTTCTCTCTCGAACTCTGATTTCGGCTACATTCTTTTGAATTTTTGCAACTTTCTAAACAGTCATTTCTTGTCAAAAGGCTGTTTTTCTTCTTGGTATCAGAACAGGCTCGTTTTTCCCTTTTTTTCACCTTTTTTTCCTATACACAGTGTGTATGGAGAACTGAATCGTATGAATAGTTAAAGAAACCTATTTCAGCCCAGTTGTTAGTGGTTTCTGGAGAAAAGGGGACCGGTTTTGTTGTCCTCATGACAGATTCAAGTGTGTTGCTCAAAACCCTAATTTTTTGGAGAAATCTGATTGCGGGCCCCATAGGGAGTTTGACCTGGGCGCTCAGTGACTGAAGGCCTTCTCATTCTTCTTCTTGAAGATCGAATCAAGTGGATTGGTGTTTTGTGAAGTCTACAAGGAGCGGTTGAGTTTTCTCTATTTCTCCCAGCTTCTGGGTGTGTCATAGGTTACTGGTACGGCTGCATAGAGGTTGGCTCACAACACAGTTTTTTGTTCTGTCTTTATTTGTTGTTATTCGAAGTTGTTTGAAGTCATTTTTGAAGTATTTAAGAAGATGAACTCCTCAGACTTTGAAAACAAGCATGTTGCTAAATCTGGACAGGTTCTGGGAGCCTCTGTAGACTCTCTACTGGCTGTGACCACAGTCAAGCTGGATGGAACTAATTATCTGGCTTGGTCACAATCAGTAAAAATTCATATTTGTAGTAGAGGAAAATGGGGTTTTATCTCTGGGAGCAAAAAGGCTCCTCCGGAAGATGATCCATCATATGAAAAATGGATGCAAGAAAATTATATTGTTATTGGATGGCTTGTGAACTCAATGCAACCACAGATTGGTCAGCACTATTTGTGGATGAATTCAACCAAGGAAATTTGGGATAGTGTTGTTGAAACCTATTCCCAAAAATTAAATGTGGACAGGGTTTACAAGTTGAGAAGTGATGTAAAGAATTTGAGACAGGGGGAGAAACCATTAGCTGTATACTTCTCAACACTGAAGTCTTTATGGCAAGAAATAGATTTGATAGAAGTTGTAGCCTGGGACACCACTAATGATGCTGAGACCTACAGAAAACTGGTTGAGAGAAACAGGGTGTTTGAGTTTTTGACAGGGCTAAATCCACAGTACGACATTACAAAGCAAAATATTTTAACCAAGGATAGTGTCTCACTGTCTCAAGCATATGCCTTGGTAAG